TTAATAAAAATTTATTTTTTCTTTCTACTTTCCTACGAGAAGATGTCATCAGATTGGTGATATCTTATTTTAGGGCGATGGTCTGATAGTGTTTGTCTGAGAGAGATAGTGTTTCTATTTTAAAACTTATCACGATATATTCATAAGGATGTATCTGCTCAGTACAGCTGATCGCTTGTAAGTGCTCTTGAAGTAACTGCGAGATGCCACTTCTAAATATTATGTAAAAACCTTTTGTAATACTATATAATCGTAAAATAATAAAGGAGACTAAAGGCAAGATGGCCTAAGTAGGAAAAAAAAATAAAAATAAAAATAAAAAAAAGTAAATTAAAAAAATAGATTATTAAAATACATCTATAGTGTTTTACACCTATATATATATTATTTCAAAAACTAGCCAATTAATCAGTATAAAATATTTTAAGTAAAAATGTTTTATGCTTCAAAAACTCTTCTCAAACTCTAATTTTAACTGCAAGTATTAACCTTAATGCAAAAAAATTTGTATTAAAAATTTTGAACAAGACTATACAGTACATCCTGCACTTTGTGTATCTTTCTATAAAATTTCTATAAAATCACTAATTTTTTAAAATTTTGACTAAGTAATCTTATTGTATAACATAAGCAAAAATTTTTTTATCAAAATTTTACTTTATCCTAACCCTAATCCTAACTATAATTCTAACCTTAACCTAACTTAATATCTATTGCCAGCTCAATTTTGCTATAGGGTGCACAAAATGCATAGTGCACTATTTAGATTTTTTCAAAATTTTATAAAAAATTAATAAAAACATATAATAGGTGCAAAACACCATAGGTGCATTTTATAATAATTGTAAAAATACTACCAGTACTAAAATTTGGATAAATATTACAAAAGTAAAGATAATAATTGTAGTAACTTACATGTACAGTATTAGTTTAATTATAATACAAACTATATATTTTACTAAACAAAATAAATATAAAACCTATACTTTTTTATTATATATAAACACTAACCCTAAACCCTAACCTAGCTACCAAAAAAAGCTAAAAAAACGTCCTCCAAAAATTTAAAATTTCATATTAAAATAAGTCAAAGTTTCAGCATCATTCCCAACAGGATATTGCACCCAGGCAAATTGCAAATGCCTTACGATGTAAGGGATAATAAATTTTAATAAATATATGCGTATTATTAATTTCTTTCAATATTTGATGTACAAAGTAAAAATATTTATTACGTATCTTAAAAATCCCATCCTTTATTTTAATTCTGTAATTAATTTTATAGTTTTGCAAAAAGGGGTGATCTCGATGGTGATAGTGGGAAACTTCATTTTAAATATCCTATTGGCCATATTCAGAGAGTCAAAGAATCAGATGATTTTTTGTGATTCAAATCGGCAGAGATCACTTTTTTATTTTTTTGCGGTAACACTAAAATTTTGATTATGTGAAAAATAGCCGCATTATGCAATAGTAGTCATGTGACTAACATAAATAGTTAATTTTTCGCAAAATGTATTCGAAATTCGGACTCGACTTGAATTCGGTCCGACGGATCCATTTTGAATCCATAATTCATTCGAATTCATATAGGGGTTCGTTCGAATAATATTCAACGAGAATCTGCACTGTCCCTTGGAAAAAAATTCTGCTTGCATCGTGTTTTACGCTTTTTGCAAACTTACGTACGCAACATTCAGGTGACTTGTGGACACAACATTGGCCAGAATTAGAGTTAAAGTTAACATTAACGTTGACGTTAGGATGTGGTAATGCTAGTCAATTTGTGACCACAAACACGTGAAAGTGTATCCTGTATGCAACATGTGACATACTCCCACAGAATTCTTCTATGGTCCCAATTAAATGCAAAATTTTTACCCCACTCCTAAAGAATTGTAAAGAATTGCCTAATAACGATAAATATCAACGCCCTAAATAATTTAGGAAATGATAAAGGAGGTTCACATAAATTTAAATAAAAAACCTCTAAGTTCTAACATTCTAAAACATTTATTTTGATAATACTTGAAATTTTTTTAATACCGATACATAATCCAGTAATCCGCTCTCTTAGATTCAACGGCTAATAATAGTTAGATCGAGGTTAAATACAATATCGCGATTTTCCAGGCTATTGGTAACAACAGATTTACAGACGTTTTAATCATGTACAGTACATATGTATCGAAATTAATATCAGATAAGTATTACAGATGCTAGAAATGCATATTAACTGTGCACGTTTTTTACTTGGTCTATACTAAATTTGTGTTGAACATTTGTAGTGAATTTGTTTGTAATCCAAATGATTGTTTTTGCCCCAACGATAATGAAAGACTTTACGCGAATTTTATATAAAAGAATTCCGTGTTTTATCATCTGATCAATCTGCAATTGCCCCAGAAACTTCGGTACGCAATCATGTAATACAAAGCGATAACTGTATATAAAGTCTGATAAATCACATTTATTATCATAATATCTCTTTATTCCTTCACTATATATATCATGGAACCAGCTTCTTCTGAAGTGCTTTTTGAAAGTTTTTTTAACTCTATTTCACTGCCAAAACTAGCTTATCATTGGCATGTTATCATTCTTTCATCGTTAGGATGCACTGCTACCCTTGCAGGTTCTCGCTATATTTCTCCGGTTCTGTTTCCAAAAACTTACAACAGTATGCCGAGAATTAAGCGACTTAGTTGGGATATACATTGGGTTAGCATGGCTCATTGCTTAGCAGTGATCTTCCTGTCTTTCCCACTATTGTATCAGGAAGAGTTACAAAAAGACAAAATTTTTGGTTATAATGCTTATGCCGGAAACGTCTACTCCATTGCTTGCGGGTGAGCTAAACAACGTATAAACGCTAGCTTGAAATATATAATTCCATTTAATTATTAATGATTTATTCCTTTAACCAGGTATTTCCTTTGGGATGCTCTTATTTCTCTTTATTATGTCAAAGAGTTTGGCTTTGGTTTTGCATTACACGGTATATGCTGTTTTGGTGTGTTCATATTTGCTTTTGTAAGTTGGAATATAATTATTTAATTTCATAAATAATTATAAAAACCTGTTTCGATTCTTGTATTAACTTGATCTTTTTTTTTCTTGATGAAGAGACCATTCTTGAATTATTACGGATCTGTATTTTTAATGTATGAAATTTCCACTCCATTTTTGAATGTGCATTGGTTTATGGTAATTGTCGTGATGCTTCATAGAATTTTTATTTTATAAAAAAATGTTTTTTAGTTAAATTTTTTAAAAACTTTTTGAATTAATTTATCTTGTAGGATAAGCTTGGTTTAGGTGGAACTTTACCGCATATAATAAATGGTGTTTGTCTGCTTGCATCTTTCTTCTTTGTAAGAATTATATACGGATTTTACATGTCTTACCAAGTATTTCGTAAGTGTTTATCGATATGATGGATATTGTATTTGTTTTCATATTTATGATGTATATTTATATTTATTATTAATTTATTTATTAGATGCCATCTTACCTGTAGTTTCGCAAATACCTGTATTTTTATGTGTTCTCTACGGAACGGCTAATATCATGTTGAATTGCTTAAATGTATACTGGTTTGTTAAAATGATAGCTTATGTGTCACGACCATCTGCAAAATATAATGTCAGCGATGGTCATTCTAGCAAATCACACTCCAAAGTTAAGAAACAATAAGGTTTCTCTATAAGTCCTATTTGGTTGGTGTGAATATTCCTAGAATGGTATAATGTTAATTAATATAGTTAATGCATCCATTTGTGTCTTAAGGAGAATAAGATAGTAATGGTATATATATATATATATTTGAATAGTGAAATCCTATTTTTATAAAAAATTTTTGTAAACCGGCCGTGTCACGTGTTGCTCCATATCTATTTAGGGATTAACCAAATTTGGGACTTCCGCCGTAAATCAGCGTTTTTACTCGTTTATATATGAGTTGGTGGTAGTACGATATACGATAAAGTTAAATTTTTCAATTGCGGTGGCTTATGACATAATGACAATACAAATTGCATATAAAGATTTTTTTCCTAACTCTCGCATAGTTGATCGCCCTTTGTCAATTTAAAAATCGATTAGATCTGAATTTTTTTTTTATTTTAACCTTCCTGACGCTAACTTTGGTCAACTCGTCAACAATACATAACATTTAATAAAAGCTTGCGATCTATTGTATCACATTATTCTCTACCAAGATTTTGGATTAGGAATTAGTAGATTGACGAAATGACCGATGTTAATATATCAACATTCATTCCAACTATCAAAACTATACTTAAGAATTCAGATCCTAATGAAATTACTGCTAGAGACATTCGAATGAAGTTGGAGAAGGATTTTAATGTTGACCTTACAGACAGAAAACATGAAGTGCAACAACTTATCGAAAAATGCTTTGACGATTTAGAAATCGGTGAAGAAAGTGCAAACAGCGATGAGTCCGATCATGATATTAAAGTAGAGTCTGATCATGATATTAAAGTAGAAAAAGAAAAAAAAAAAAAAAAAAAGAAACATTCTAGTGACGCAAAAAAATCCCATAACTCGTCCAAATCATCTAATGTAAAAGCAAAATCATCCAAAGTAACCGTAAAATCCGAACAAATATCTGATTATTCATCCCTGGAGGATGATTATAAACCACAAAAAAAAAAGAAGAGAGGTAGAAAACCAAAAAGTTCTCAATCCATCGAATCCTTATCTGATGACGAATATGAGAGAAAATTTGAAGCAGAATTGAATGGTGTTAGTAAAAAATCAAAATCTACATCTAAAAAGAAGAAACAGTCAAATAAACGAAAAAGGAATGATGATGATGATGATGACGAGGGTGGTGAAGAAAGCAAAAAGAAAAAAAAGGGTGTTACCGGAATTCATAAACCATTGGTGTTGAGTCCTGTATTGTCCGAATTTTTGCATGCTGAAGAGGTGAGCGTCGAATTATATTTGAATTATATTCGATTTATATTTGATTTATATTCGATTTATTTAATTTTCATTAAATTTTGCTTATTTGTATTCATGTGCTTCTTATTTTTTTATGATATTTAGCTTTCTCGTCTCGAAGTCGTTAAACGTTTATGGGCATATATCAAGGAAAATAGTCTTCAAGACCCAAATGATAAACGATTCATTGTTTGTGATGAAAATTTGAAAAATATATTCAAACAAGATAGAATTCATAGCTTTACAATGAACAAGTATTTGACCGATCATCTGAAAAAGAAAGAAGATCTTGTTGACATGAATGTTAGTAGTAATGGCAGTGATCACGTGGAACAAAGTAATGCAAGTAGTGCCGGCGATGACGAAACGCATAACGATAAGGTTTAAACCTAATCCGTTTTTTTGAATTATGGCATTATTATTTAGTTTTGGTTTGGAAATCGGATTTCTACTTCATTTTTTGGATAATTACAAAATTCTTAAATATTTTTTTCTTTTTTCAGTCAATATAGTGTAAAATTAATTAAATTTGTTAAATCAATGCTATTTTTATTTTCATTTTAAGAGGGATTTTGCGATTAAGCAGGATATATTAATAAAATGTTACATTACAGTAGGTATAATAGTTGTATTAAATATATGCACAATAAAGTCAAAAATAATTATAAAAATAAAATTTTTTAACATTTAAATAAGATTTGAATTTTAATTATATAATAAACTTTTCGATTAAGTTTGGAATTCAAATAAAATGTGCCTAAATACGCACACCCTTACAGTAAATTACCGGAAATCGATAAAGAAAATGTAGATCGATTAAAAGACAAGTTGTTTTTAAAGTTTATTTCGTTTCTATTTAGTGCAACACACATTTAGCAATCTAATTTATAAAAACTGGGTTGTTCCGTAGTTTTTCTATACTAAATTCTTAAAAGAATCTATACAAGAACAAATAATTGGAGCATATGTGTGGGTTAAATGTTTCATATATATACAATAAATTGTTTTTTTATATTCTAATAAAAGGTTTATAGTGCAAGTATGCTGTATATTTAATTTTTGATACAAGCAAAATACTGTATTAAAAAGTTAACTAATTAGTTTATTTACTATAATAGCTTTAATAAAATTATTAAATTGTTTACAAGTTTATAATTAAAACATATTCTTTTTGATATATAATTACTTGGTTTATATTTTCAAAACTAACCTGCAAAAAACTACTATAGTTATCTTATTTGAAATATTACAAAAATTTTTTTTAAATAATTTAAATCTAAAAATGAAACCTAAAATTTTAATTTTTTAGTTTAGTATTTTAAAATAAAATTGTTAGAAAATTATAAAAAAGTAATTAGCTTTAGCTAGAAGTATTTGTAAAAAACATTTAGGTTTTGTTTAAATATAACTTGATCAAATAAATTATTTTTATATATTGTAAAGTTTACAAAAATATAAAAATATAGTAATATGGTAGCAAATAGTTATACAGTTAGACCTCTTTATAGTCATCTCCTCTATAGTTACATTTGATTATTATCACAAAAATTTTTAAAATCAACTTATATAGTACTTATAAAATTTAACCTCTATATAAGCACAAACTTTCTATAAGCACCAAATTCTTAAAACTAATGGTATGATTATAGAAAGGTTTGACTATATTTTAGTAGTAAAACTGGCAAAATTGCTAAAATAAAGAAATAATATAATTTTTTTTTTTTTTTTGGTATTAAGCTGAGGCTTTGCTCATATCTTTATTAGTAACTTTAAAAATAGTAACTACATTAAAGAGATACTACTATTTGTACAAGT